GGCTCCGGCTCGGGCGAAGGCGTAGCGGGCTGCCAGGGGCTCCCGCCCCAGCGGCCCACGTCCGACCGTGGACCGTCCATGACTGTGCCTGGGAAAGAGGAAGGGGGGGCTGCGGTCACACACTGGGGAGAAACCCACCCAGTCCTACTGACTCAGCGCCAGCCAGACGAGCCCATCCCGAGACCCCCCAGCCCCACCCCAAAGACCTCCTGCAGACTCACCCAGAGGGCGCCTTCCCCTCCTCCCCCACACTGATGTCCCCCGAACCTCAGGCCCAATTCGGGGTGCCCCGCCAAGAACCCCACGCAGAACCCATCCCACGAAACGCTCCCTTCGCAGGCACTTGTCGCAGCCTCTGGACCAGCCCAACAGGCCGGATGCCTGCGCCCAATAGAGGGGAGCTCTACAGGGTCACCCCCATCTGTCAGCAGACTTCTCGCAGGCTCCCGCCCGGTAAAGGAGACGGGAGGGCGTCGGGGTCCCGGGCTTGCCAAGCCGGCGTGGCGGAGGGCAGGGGCGGGGCACAGCAGGTGCCGGAGCCCAGCCCGAGCCCGCGCGTCCTGGGCCCTGGCTTGGCCGCGGGCTGAGACCGCCGGCCCAGGATCCCCTCACCTGGTGGCGGCGGCGGCGATGCCGAGTCCCGGGTCGGAGCTGATGGGATGGGACAGGACCGACCGACTGGCTGGACGGCGCCGCGAATGGAAGCTGCGGGGCGGGCCGTCGAGTGGTTTATGAGGGGAGGGAGGAGCCGCGCTGCTGGGAAGGGGAAGCTCACTAAGCTCTAGGCGGGGTGCCACTCCAGCCCCCCTCCCCGCCCCCATACACACCCAGGAAGAGCGCCAGGGCCTGTGGGGGTTGTCAGGAGGCAGGGAAACTGGAACTCCTCCATCTCCCTTTCGAGGAACTGAGATAATGCAGGGCGTAAGAGCCAGGGAGGGGCCACGTGGTGGTCTGCAAGAGGTCAGGATCAAAGTGGAGAGCCCTCTGATCAGGATGTGGGTGAGGAGGTGGGGAGAAGCCCTGAGCCCCAGGCAGGAGGCAGGAGCCCCTTCCATCCAGTGCCCTCCCTGGCAGACCCTGTGACCCAGCGCCTGCCTCTCTGCCAGTGCAGCCCTCCAGGCTCTACCTTGCAAAACAGGCCCGTGGGCCTGGGACTCATCCTGCCCAGGGAGGTCCCGGGATCCCGGCTGCAGCTGGTGACATCAGCAGCCAGGCCTGCAGACTGGCTCCACCGGCCAGCCCCTGACCTGCCGGCTCTACCAGCTCCAGTGACAACCCCCCACCCACCCACCTACCTGTCCCTCCAGCTGCTCCACAGTGCCTAGCATGGTGTGTGTGTGTCCCTGTCCCTCCAGGTTGGAGGTGGGTGTGGAGTAGGGGGGCAGGATGGATCTGTTCTTTCTCCTCCTGGCCAGGGGGTTTGAGAGAACCTTAAGCCTTTGCTCTGAGGTTGAGGTGGGAACCCAGGCCTCCCCACCCCTCCCCGAGGAGTGTCTGAATAGCTGAAGTTGAGGAGTCCCCTTCTTCGCTCTGGAACTCTTGCTGGGAATGCTGACCAACCGGCTCTGGGCACCTGCCCTGTGGGCATCCCAACTCCACCCCTGCACTGGGAGACAAGGGGGTGCCACCAAGAGGACCCCAGGGGAGAAAGAGGCCAGGAGGCTCTTCTGGGAAGTTTGCTCTTGGGCCCATCAGCCAGGGCTCTCTTCGCTCCACCCCACGGGTGTCCTGGCTCCCTCCCAGGCTACTGAACAGGCAGTGCAAGCAGGGTGGGCAGGAAGAGACAAGGAAGCAGAGGCTGGGTTGGTGATGCATAGGGCAGGGAGGTGTCTCAGGAAGTGGGGACACAGAGGCTCTGGCACCTGGCAGACAGCCCTTCCCACCCATGCTGACCTTTTCCTGTCTGCCTGCTAGCCCCAGAAGTGGCAGGGGGTCTGCCTCTACCCCAACACTCTCAGAGGACCAAGTTCTGGGCAGGCAGGTGTATGGCAGGCCGGCCAGGGCTCTGTGGAGGTGCAGCTGTGCACGGCTAAGGTCGTGGGAAGGGGCAAGGCCCGAGTGTCCCAGCCAGGAGGGCCCTCAGCATCAGGAAAATACTTTTGTCACACTCTCGCCCTCTTGGAGCAGTTTCTCTTTCCCCACCCAGTTAGGTTTGACTCAGTGCCCTGACCCCCCCACGCTGCCACTCCTTTTGTTCCTCCCTCCAGGAAGGCCAGGCGCCTCAGAGCTTTTAGAGTCAGGACAGGAAGTATCCAGGTGCACTGGGGGCACCTTGGGAGGCAAAACCCAACTCAAGACAGCAGGCTGCCTAGGTCGGACCTCTGGCCTGGGCACTCGGGCAGGAGCTAGAACATGGAGTCTAGAAATCCTAGACAGGGGTACCGAAATGATTCTGGTGCCACCACTTAGCCTCGATTGCTCGAGTCTTAGCGGCAGTTTTATCAGGAAGTGTAATGGGCCGATCACCTTCTCGCACCTCATTTCTCGTGAGAATCAAATGTTTGCAAGGGCTCTTCAACCAAAGGAGGTATTTATGGGGACTGATCCTGCTGTTACAGGGCAGAGCGGGGGAGCCGGTGCCACCCCTCCTGGGAACACAGAACCGTTGAGCCCTCTCAGCTTTCTGGTTCTGAACTTGAACCCTGGCTGGGGGTGGGGGTGGGGGTGGGAAGAGGGAGAGACTCCAAGGCGCTAGTTCTCCATGACAGGGCAGAGGCCTGGACGCAGGGCCAAGGACAAGCGGAACCAGCCTGCATCCCCACTCTCTTCCAGCAGATGTGGCAGTGGTGGTGGCTGCTGAGGACACTGGTCGGTGAATCGAGGGCTGGCGGCGTGGTGGTTATGTGTTGGGTTGCTAACGGCAAGGTCAGCAGTTTAAAACCACCAGCTGCTCCTCAGGGGAGGCGGCTTTCTACTCCCGTAAAGAGTTAGGGTCTAGGAAACTCACAGGGGCAGCTCCACCCTGCCCTGCAGGGTGGCTGAGTTGGCACTGACGGGATGGCACAGCGGGTATACTTTATTTTTGTTTGTCCCCATTCTTTATTTTAGTCCCAATAAGTTAAGGGTGAGGGGCTTCCTCTTAGGTGAGAATGCTGCTCACTGAAGGTAGCAGTTCGGCCAGCTGCTCCGAGATGCCCTCTGCATGGCACAGAGGGTTGCCCTGCAGGTCGAGGAGAGCCAGTCTGGGGCAGGAGGCAAGTGGCTGAAGCACGGAGAGCATCC